GATCTGCAAAATTAGCCAATCATATTAAGGTGCGATATATAACCTTAACGCAGGGGTGCGAAGCATATTAAACTTCTTTTAACTATATCAAACATTTTTAATATAATTCGAATTATTTTAAATTATTTTACTTATATAGTTCATAGTAATTTATCACAATCTGTTTCATTTTTGAATATTAATATTTAAAAATATTAGCTCTTTAATTTTAATTATTTTTAACTATATCAAACATTTTTAATATAATTCGAATTATTTTGAATTATTTTGCTCTTATAGTTTATAGTAATTTATCACAATCTGTTCATTCTTGAATATTAATGTTTAAAAATATTAGCTCTTTAATTTTAATTATTTTTAATTATATCAAATATTTTTAATATAATTCAAATTATTTTGCATTTATAGTTTATAGTAATTTATCTTAATCTGTTTCAAATTATTTCAAATTATTTTACATAATATTGTGTAATTTCTTGTATAATATTGTGTAATAATTTTACGTAATATTTCGTAATTTTATATTTTGCAATATTGCAAAAGTTATTATGTAATATTATAGTTTTTTTATGCTTTGTAAATTATTGTGCAATATTACGCTCTATTAAATTTGCTGATGTAGAATATGTTTTAAATAAAATATTTTATATATAAATCATACTTCATATTATTAATAATTGTTAATTTTATTTAAAAAATATAAATACTTTTCAAAATTTGCCTGGAATACGGTTTAAGGAATAATAAAAATATAGCTAATTTGCCTTTTTAGTTAAATCACAAGAGAGTGCTATATCTCAAAAACATACTAATTAAAGTTAGGAGTTCTAAAAGTAAAATACTCAAAACTTCCAAAAACTTTATGTATACCAAAATTTGAACCTCTATATTAAATTTTTATTATACTGTATAAACCTCTATTTTATATTAAAATTGCATTCTAACTCTAAAAAATTAGAGGTGATTAATATTACCACAGGTTAAAATTAGTTGTTTTCATACAATCAATAAAATACAGTCAAACCTCTCTATAATCACACACTTGGAATACAAAACAGCATGATTGTAAAGAAGTGTGACAAGTATAAAAGTCAAATTTATTATATTTAATAATAGATTGTATTTAAATAAGTGTGTTTATAAAGAAAATGTGCTCATATAGAAGGTGACTATAGAGAGGTTTGACTATACTTTGATTTTTTTTTTTGGTTTTGATAATAATAAAACATATTAATAGTCAATATTATTTAATAAAATCTATATTTAGCCAAGCGACAAACATAAATAAATCAAAAAAAAATAGGGTAATTAACATCAAATCAAATCAAATCAGGAAATCTTCTTGCACAATTCTTGTAACAATTTTAAATTATGAGTATAATGATATTCTATTTGTTCTTCAGGGTACCTATATTTTTCTAGATTATATTTAGTCATAAATCCAGATGCAAAGTCTCTTAATTCTACCCATTCATACCATTTTGCATTGTCAAACGAATTCATAAATTTTTTTCTTTTACCATCATCATCATCATCCAGACCCGATTTGATTTTAGTAAATTCTGACTTAGACGAATATGTCGGTGTTGTGAGTTGGTGATAGTTATGATTTTCAGTTCCAAGAATTTTTGCTAACTTTGATTTAAGCAATGCATCACCTTCGGGATATGGATTTTTAAGTGGTGGAAATAAGAATGAATCGTTTGGTGGACCTTCTATATCAAATGTTACTAAAATACAGAACGTATAGATATTTATTTTTATACAATTGTATATATTTTAATAATTTACGACATAATAATCGTTATAAAAAAAAAGGAAACGTACTAACGGCTCTTAATCCAAACCAAGGGCCAAATTCTTCATGAACGCACAAAAAACAGGTTTTATTATAATAAGCCAATCCAGCATCTTGAGCCAATCGCTGAAAGGCTACAAATTTCTTTTCATCTAAATCAAAGGTATATCGTATGTCATATTTCACATCAGAATACTTAGTAGAATAATTATTTATAGAAATCGCTTGTTTGACGGCTGAAGTGATGCTTTGGATGGTATAACAATCAAGTGGATTGTCATATGACGATGAAATTATACGATTGTTTGATTTTTTGCGCTTAGTTACTGATTGAAAATTTGCATAAAATTTTAGAAAAATTGGCCAAAGGTGTTTAGTATTTCCTACAATGATAGATAAAGTTGATGTCCGAAAATATGTTGGTAATGGAGCTAATGAACTTGCAGGTGATAGATTTGAGTTATATCTTTATAGCACATTTTCGTATATATATAAAAATTTTAGATAAAAATTGATTGAAAAAAATTTTATATAGAATAAGGTTATAAATGGAAATGATACCTCTGAGCGGGAAATGCTTTCACTAAATCAAATCCCAAAGGATATAAAATTTCCGAAATTTTCTTTGTTATTTCTTCACACTGAATTTGTCCTGAAGAATATAAGGACAACATCTGTACTTTTGAAATATTTAAAAAATACTTTTGAGGCTTTTTATCATTTTATTTATAATGTAATATCACCTGATAGTGACAAAATCATCCGATTTATCGATATTTTTTGATTTTTATAAATAATATATATATATATTATCTATTTTAATCTCTCCTCGAGAATTAATCGAAATTTCAGCAAGACGAGGCTATAATAAAATGGTATATATTAGTGTTTTAAAAACGCTATCGTTATTAACTAAGGCTATTACAGATTCATATTTTTGTGGCATTTTGTCGTTTATAGTAAGTAATTAAACAAGCTGTTCGCTGGTTATGTTTCATTCACATTGAATTGATCCTCGCAATTTTGATACGTATAATACGTACGTACGTACATACGTACCTTTTTCTTTGATATGGTAACACGTAATGCAAGTCTAGTTACAAACATAGTGCAAGTGGTTAGTGATGTTTTTTAATTGGCGATTTTAACGGGTAAAAACAAATTTCAAAATTGCAATATCTCGAACTATTAAATATACAAAAATAAAATACATTAGACTTCTTTTAATGTGTTTTTAACGTAACGACATAATTTTTTATATACGTATGCCAAGATAAATATAGTTATTAAAATCAAATAATTCTAGAAAAAATAAAAATGGCAATTACCGATGAAAAATACGAAACACTTCTGAGACCGTGCACGTGATATTAGCCGCTTTAGTGTGTCAGTGAAACATCGCCTTAGACTCTCTTTATTTTTTTTTAATAAAAAGAATGTATCAAGGTCAGAATTTAACCCTTCTTTTTCTAATATAAAATTTTTTTTCCCTGAAATTTATACATAATTTTGAATTTTTATCGCAGAGTCGTCTTTTCAGCATTTAAATAATCATGACACCGCAAATAATACTAATGATGTAAACACAGATAACATTACCGATTTGTCTGTCTCTCAAAATTCAATTTTTCCCTCTGATTCGACAATTGAAAATACTGATGATTTTCATTTCCGTGATGATGACGATGATAGTAGTAATGATGCGGAACTAGAACCATTTGGATACGAATTGTTGCCTCAAGATATGGATGAAGATGCGGATGAAGAAAACAAAGATGATGAAAATGACGATTCTGATCGTGAGGTATCACTTGATTATCGTTGAGATATCGTAAATAATATCATCAATCATCCTTCAGGCAGTTATGACTTACTGGCTAGAAGGATAATACTGTTACTACTTTAGTGCACTGACTAAAATATCCCTATGCTTTGCGCAAAATACCCAGCGCAAAACATAGGATCTCTATAAATTTTTTCAAGTTCTAAACTGCTTATTATAAACGCAATGTATGTACGTGAAATATTTTCTTGCGAGGTTCACAGCGTATAATATACCTAGGTTTTGTTCGGTATTTTGCATTAGATCCCTGGTCTTCTGTCAGTGCACCACGGTAGTCAAGTAACGACCAATAACTGCCTTATTCATCAAAAAAATTTTTGACAAACAACTGACTAGAGATTGTACCCGAGTAGATATTTTTATTATATAGGTAATTTAATAATATCTGGGTAGAGATTTTCTTGACGGGTACAATCTCTACAACTGACTGTTGTTATTGATCGTTATGTGACCAATAATTATATAACACCTTTATCAAGTAACTTTGTTTTGTGCCAATTCTTCGATATCGATCGGCATAGAGGAAGTTTGAAATTCAATCACAAACCTTACAAATCCGTGCGACTGATCAAGAAAAAATTTCAGAGGGTGATTTAATTTATTCACAGAAATATAATTAGTAGGTTCTATTGATTCCAATGTAAATTAATATTTATATCTAACCATTTAAAAGACGATGTGGCGATTATCAATTCAATTATGAAAAATATCAAAATTCCTGATTCTGCTGTACCTGGTTTGTCGAATTCTTTATACGAAATAATGTTTTATTTTTGGTGCATACGTAAATTAATAGTCGCTTTTTTCCCTTTAATTAGAATGGGCTAAAGTTATTCCTGAGGAAGCTTGGTTGCCTGTGATTCTTAATAATAATGAAACAAGTGAAGAGACCAATAGTAATGATATTTCATAATCATATTATTTAATGCTAATAATTATTAAATCTTATTAATAAAATTTGGCCTATAATCTCATTGATGAAATATAGTTAAATACAAATTATATAAGTTAATATTAACATTAATGAAATTAGTTTAATAATACTACATAATGGAATAGGCTCTATTTAAAATTTCTTTTTCAACCTCTTTCTTGATATGCTCGACTGTTTCATTACCTATTGGTATTTTAATAGGTGGCCTGCATGAAGTTATATAAATTTACAGTATTATTATAAGCAATAATTGCGTAAACATTTAAAAGCAGTATTCAGTGGAATGACTTCTTGCTGTAGAGGTGACCCTATCCTCTATAATCAATTTAATATATTTTTTATCCGAGGGGTCACATATACTGCAAGAGATCCTTTAGTCATAATATTGTATCATGGGAAGGAATTTCTGAAATGTCTTTAATAACATACCTCCCGTCACGAAAATGAATTAATTCGATTGGAAGAACTAATCTTGATGTACCTAAATATAATGTTAATAATAAGGAGAAATGAAAATGATTTATAATCAAAAGGCATACGATTCAATCAGTCAAGGGAAACCCAAATTACTGGTGATAAAAGCTCCTTCCCAATTAGCAACATCATCTAGATTTGGAAACCAATTCTTTAAATCAATTCCATCCCTTTCGCAGACCATTGTGACAATTTTTCTAATCGTTCCCTCGAGCACAAAATGCGATGGTGCCGTTACGACTATTGGTAAACGTGTATCAGGATTATACATCACAGCGAAAAAGTTTGAACTTAAACCTTCGTAAATATTGTGAGTATTAGAATCAGAAAGTAAAAGTTCGTTGAAACCAGGTCGTATTGAAGCCTCAAGATCTTTACGGTCCCTTAATTAAAAACAAAGTTCGAGAAAAAAAATTATTGTATCTATATTTCATAATAAATATAAATACCGAATCCATTGTGAATCTTTTGCTTCAGCTACTTTTCTAGGTTCTCCGTATACCTCTACCTAATGTAAATAAAAAATCATGTTTGTCTACAGTTTTGAATCCGAAAGAAAGCACAATATATAAAAATTACGTTTAAACAATTAATATTTATACCCTGCATTTGGACGAACTAGATGCGTGTAAAGGTGTAAAATGGGCTGCCAATATGGGACGTGATTCCTTGATTATTGATGACAAATATTATAGGTCAAAAGTAGCAACAATATCAAACATTATAAAAATATAAAACTTACTTTGAAAGAATAACACAAAATCCATGTAACTTTGACCTCACCAACACCCTTAATGTGCCATGGCGTTTCTTCTTCAGTCTCAAAATATTTTGTTAATCCAGTCTTCAATAAAGGGATAATTAATTCTTTAAATAACTCCGGATCCCTGTAAGGTGCCATTTCCTGTGAAACATAATCTGGCTCTGTTTCTTCAATTATCTCTTCTGAAACATTATTATTAGATCCATCTTGATTTCCTTCAATAGATAAATTTTCAAATTTTTTGAATTTTATCAATTTCAAGGAATTACATGTACGATTTATGTGTCCTTGAAGATCCATAATGGCTATCCTGTTGACAGTACGCGCCGTTGTATACGCTCCTATAAAAAATTGCTGTATGATTATAATATTGGATTTCAGATGATCACTAATATTCAGCAAACCTCGAGGATATTGTAACAAAAATTCGCTGGGTGTTATTCGTTTTTCAGTTATTGCGAAATCTGGGCCGTTTGATGACTCTCCATTCAAAGTTTTTGGCCTTTCAACAACCACTGCACTAATTCATATTAAGATAAATAAAAATTTTGAGGGAATAATATAAAAAAAAAGGGATCAAAATAGTTTAATACCAGACAATGGTTCAGTTTTCTTAAGGGGTTGCTGATTGGTTTCCATGAACGTCTTGAAACTTCGAAAATTCTTTGGTATTATTAAGCCTAAGAAGAAAATTAAAGCGGTTTATCGGCATCGCATCACGAGATTTTCCGTTTACACGGACCCCGACTACTGTAATCGATTTATCGATTTAAAATTTTAGAATAATCGATTCACATAATTAACGTCATTTATATAACTGTATAATGTGATGTTATCACACAAAACTAAAAACGGAATACTGTACCTCCCTGACGCTAAGTGCACACTAGCGCTAGCTTTGGGTTTAATTCACCAGTAAAAGGGTCCGTCAAAAATAATTTGTGATTTTTAAGCGTTCAATTTCTTGAGCTAGCACGGATGGGTATTTTGAAAGATCTGGATCCGATCCGGTTCTTCAGATCCCAGATCTTTCAAAATACCCGTCCGATCTTATCCGTGTGGAACACCAAAAATTATAATTAATAGTGGACACAAAAATAGGCAGATTGCAGGCGGTTTAATATAACATATACACGTAAGTACTGAAGTACAAAATATTAATACTGAATTAGGTAAAATTTAAACTTTACGTACGTAGTTTTAAAATTTTATTAATTATTAACGCTAATAAAAATAGCACGTTCAAAGAGCGAGTGATAATGACTTCTTTTAAGCCAGTTAGTGTCATTCTTCGAAATGATTATAGTCAAAGTGATGACGATAGTATAGATAAAATTTTTCAAGATTTGTTGAATGCTTGTCGTTCTGGTGATCTTGAGAGGGTAGAAAGGTAAAAAGTTGGGTATTTACCCGAAAATTACGCTCGATATTTGTTCGATACTAATGCATTAAAAAATTTTTTTTCTGTGGAATCTGATATTACAGTCTAGTTCGAGATTTTTCGGCACCTATTAATAAAACAGATAACTGGCAATGTTCGCCCTTATATCTGGCTTGTTTATGGTAAGGACATCATGTATCAGATATTTATTTTAATTAAACCAAATTTAATAAATTGATAATCATATAATTTTTAAGTGGACATTACAAAGGTTAGATTCGTGAGAATGGCATACTAAATGGTGTATATTTTTCATGAAATAAGAACAAATCAAATTGACATGTACTTTGTGAACAAGTGGTGACATTTTTACTAGAGAATGGTGCCCGGTGTGAGCGAGATACCTTTGAAGGAGAACGGTTCGTTTCATTATTTAATTTCAAGTTCAATTTTAAATTCGACTTCAAGTTTGATGTAATTATTTTAATTATTTATTTGATCTGTTTAGTTGTTTATATGGAGCACTTACTTCTGAGATAAAGCAGCTTTTACTCGATTACAAATTCAGTAAAGCAGTAGATGAGAGCCAGGTTAGTTTTTTCATTTCAAAAGGCCATAATTTATAATTAACAATATATTGATTAAACTATTCTATAACCTTTTTTTTTATATCAAAGCCATATTTCAAATTTTTGACTTTACTCTACGATCAACCACTGAATACATTCAGTGATGTGGTATTCAAATTATCGTCTTTTGAAGAAATTCACGCACATCGATGCATTCTTTGTGCACGATCAAAGTACTTTGCCAATAAATTAGAAACTATCTGGCGTAATTATGAAGTTATAGAAGTTCTAGAATCACAATGGCATCCAACATGTTTTCGTGGAATTTTAAGATATTTATATACAGGCGAAATAGTCGCAGTTACTAAAGATTTAGAAACTAAAATGATATCATTGTGTCAACATTTTGAATTAGATAGTCTGGCGGAACGTTATATTGATAGCAAAATTTCAAAAAAAGAAGCGCAAGTATTTGATAAATTAAAGTCGCAAGAACTTCGACGAGACTTTGAAAAGTTTTTTAAAAATAATATATTAAAAAGTAAAATGTACATGAAAGATGATGGAACACCAAGCGAAGATATTTCAAATGGTAGAGAATTACAAGGATTTACACAAGCAGACATTTGTATTCAAATAGATCAAGAAATTTTTCCTTGCCATAAGGTCTTCCTTACGGAACGATCAGAATATTTCAAAGTCATAATAACAGGACCATTTGCTGAAAGCCGACAGATGGATACAATTTATTATGAAAATCGTCGTATACCCAAAATAACAATTTCAGATTATTGTACACCAGAAATATTTGTATTGATATTAGAATTTATTTATATAGATAAATGTGATATTCCACCTAACCTTTCGTATCAAGTCCTTATTGAAGCAGATAAATTTTTACTTGATAAGTTGAAATCACTTGCATCTATAGTATTGACTAATCAGTTAGAACCACAAGAAGATATTTATACTTTAATGAGAGCCGCACTTGATTTAAATGTTGATAGATTAGAACAGTGGTGTTCGCGATGGTTTGCAGAACACATTGAAGAAGTTTTGGAAGATCAACGATTTTTAGAATTGATTCAAGAATCAGCACACAGGTTAGTGACATATTAATTTAAAGCGTGTAATATATTGAAATCAATAACGAATTCTTAATAATAATATTATTAATATTATTAATAATATTATTTATAAATATAAATAGTATTTATAAACGAGAAGAAACAGATTCTTTACCAATTATTGATGATATTAGGTTTTGGTAAGTAATATATTATAATTGTATATTTAATAATGCATGCATGCATAAATTTAGTATATTTATTTATACGAATTCATTCACGATATATGATCTACTGTAGGTTGTCAAAAAAATGTGGAGTACTTGAAGATAATCTAGATAAAAATGGAAGGGTTAGTGAAGAAAGTTTTACATGGGAAATTGAGTATAATCGAATTATTGAAAGAATTGATAAAGTTTTAGAACAAATGGAACTTGATGCATAGAAAATTTACTATATATCAAATTATTTATCGATTGTTTCATAGTTAGCTCTTTTTGAGATCATATAATTATGAGAAATATACGTATTTAATTAATTAAAAAAAACTATAATTATCGTTATAATAACGATAAATACAGTACATATATATATATATTTATCATTACTATATTTACTATATTAGTATATATGTTCTTATTGCATTGCAAAAAATTATTACGTACAAAAAATCAGGTTTTTTTTATTGCTGCATTGATCGGAGATTCACGAGCTGATGGGACAGATTTTTATTGATAAAAATTATGCATAATATAGCATTGTCTCAGTGTGTCACACATACATATTCGTTTGTTCCGATTTCGCATGAAAAAACTAAGGTTAAAAATTTACGAGAAATTCATTTCTTCGGAACAATACTTTTTTTTTGAAAATCGATAAGGGATTAGTATACTGTATATGTAAATATGGTATTACTCATAGTCTAACGCTAATGACAATATTTTGTTTATAGTGCGAATATATTTTTTTTCCTTATCACTCGAATCTACAAATAAAAAAAATCATCATACCATGTATTTTTTAATTAAAAAACAATCATCCTTTGTGCTGATAAGGTTTGCTGTGTTATATTCATATTAGCTTTTTTGATGGGCGTAAGAAGTGATGCATATGTCTGATGATTATTTTAATCATTACTATCAAGACGTCAATAAAAAACTAATAAAATTTTAACAGGATAAACACGTGATATTATAAGCTAAAATATAAAGAACGAATTATATCTGAGATAGATCATAAAATACGATATTGTGTTATTATATTGTTTATTATTAAATCATTAATTAGTATAACTAAAAAGTATAATTAAAAAGTATAACTAAAAGTGTAATTAAAAAATGATAAAGAATTCGTCTGTAGTTTATTCAATAGATCATTTTAGAAATCATTGTATTAAAAAAAAAAATATGGCATCATTCATAAGACTCATAAGAACGCACGATAAGCTTATAAGCTTTTATATCTGTTATATATCATATTCAAAAGCCTATTTTTAGAATTATTAATCCACTAACCTGTTATGGCAATGATAATTATTATAGAGTATTGTATGCCTTATATATAATTTTTGTGTAATAGTAATGACGTAATACTGCGGAAAACCCAAAAGGATCGGTGAAACCTAAAAAAAGAAAGAAAACATATGTATCATGAGTTAAAACGACTTCCTTTTTTTAGAACAGTTCATTGTCAATATTTGATTTTTTTTTCCCACAAAGCCTTCATCTTTTTGTTTTTTCTGTTCTTGTAAATGATTTCCTGTTTATTTTTTTAAAAATTTTTTTCGCGTTATCTTTTAATAGATTAAAGTTGTTTTGATCTATATAAAAGTTTTTTACTGTTCCTATTTTTTTTTTTTTTTTTTTTTTAAAAACTTTTGAATACTTTAAAGATTTTTTTTTGACATGATGAATTATGAAGATCAAGGAATGGTTATGAAACTTCCGGATCCATATTCCGGTATAAACTTGCAAACTTTAAATCGGTTGTGAATTTTATATTTAACACGTGTTATTTTAATTCTGATGATATGTATTTTATGATTTTAGAACAGAACAATTTTGTCCATCGAGACGCATATAATAAAATTAATTTTACTGAGTGGGTAAGTAATTTGATCAATTATTAAACGATTTATACATTTTTTTATATATTTGATTTATCAATATTTTCATTAAATCAGGGTGAAGAAGATGGTGATTTTGAGCTTGAAGAAGAATTCAATCAATCAAATCAAATTCCTGTTATTCAAGATGATAATACACAACAACAAGAGTTAAACGGAGGTGATCAACAAGAAGTTGAAAAAACTATTACTCCTGATCAAATCCATCTTACGCAAACTAACGATGAACAAGTGGATGAAGTTACGATTGATGATGATACCCACTTTCCACCAAGAGATAATGAAATGCAATCGATTCTTGAAGAAATTGAAAAGTTAGAACAAAGTGAATCTGTCCAGGTCAATGAGATACCAGTTCAATCTGTTTTAATAGATAGAAATGATGTTTCAACATTAGAAAGTGAGATAACTAAATCTCAACAGTCCGAGAAAGGAAGAAAGAAAGTATCGAAAAAATCGACGTCACGAAAGAAACCTAAAGCCGATACCGATTCCGTACAATCTGTTGTCGAAAATCAATTATATTCTGAAGATGGTAATGATTCTGGTGATGATAGTTTGAAAAAAGGTATGGTTTGATATATATATACAAATATCCCTCATTTTCTTTTTTCCTTCTTTTTTATTTTTATTCATTTTTTCTCTTTCCTCGGTCTCGGTCTCTTCTATCCCCTTTTTCTTTTTTCCTTCATTGTTCTCTTTCTATTTTTCTCTTTACTCTCTCTTCTTTCTCCTTTTTTTTTCATTCTATTTTTCTATATATATATATATGTTGTTCTCTTGATCTTACGCGTTCTTCAAATGTCATCACTTAGATGATACGGAAAACTCCGCTTCAATAACTAAATCTGGTCGTAAAATTCATAAACCCATCTTTTTCAATCCTTCTTCGTATATCGAACCCAAAAAAAAACTTAACGACGCAAAAGATCCATCGGCTGAATCTAATAAACTTCCATCTGATTCAAAAAAGTCCTCTAAAAGATCTTTGGGTATGTTGTTTCATATATATCTATTTTTTATGTAATTTATTATCAATTAGTAAATTATATTGTCTAAATTATCTAAATATCTAAATTATCTAAATTATAGAAAAACGTAATCAGAAATCTTCAAAAACTCTTTCTAAACCCTATGATGTGTTAATGAGCTCTGATAATAATGGTGATTCGCTTGATATATCCCAAAATTTTCAAGATTCCCAACAAAATTTAGGTTCTTATGATTCGTCTAATTCACCACTCGACGCGTTAGATCCTGAAATTGATAGTATTGTATGCGAAATTTGTCACGAAGGATTATCCAAGAAAGGAAATTGGATCGTTTTGTGTGATCGATGTGATACTCCTTATCATCAATTATGTCATATTCCGACGATCGATGATGATTTTGCTGATTCTGATAAGGAATGGATTTGTATGGGTTGTACAAATTCGGCGCGTACAAAAAAACGTCAGAAAATGAATAATCCTGAGATGATTGATACTTCTACTAAAATCTTACCCGGTGAACAAATAATTACTCCCAATACTGATATATCAACTGCTGAATTGGACATTCAAGCTTCAAATACTATCAAGGAACAGTCTGATTTACCAATTTCCGCTTTATTGACAAGAGAACAAGTAATTTATATTTATATATTATAATATTTTTTAATTTTTAATATTTTTAATAATATATATATATTTAATATTTCTAATAATTTTATATATATATTTAATAAATTTATAGAAAGTGGAATATTTATCTTCCTTACCACAAGCCGTTTTAGTGGATCTCATACTTTTGGCTGAACACATGCAACCTGGTCTTCCATTATATCCAGCAAATGTTTTACAGAGATTTTTCAACATGAACGATCAAAAACCCGATGAGTTTCAACCAAAAACTGAATTGGCAACTCCTTCAACTGAAATGGACATTTCGGAATTATCATTACCAACCCGTTTGGATGATTTAGAACGACCTTCTCAAATAAAAGAAACTCCTGAAATAATGTCTCCTGTTTCTAACGACGGTCCTCCTATCAGTATGAACGCTGATGAATATAACATTTATTCAAATATGATAATAAGGGCTATCTCCGCTATTACTCAACCAAATGGTAACACTGCCCAAACAATTTACAATTGGATAAAAGGGTGAATAAATATAATAATATTTATAATATAATCATCGTAAACTTTAATCTCTGTAAATCACATGACTCATATCTTTATATATACTCGTTATTAGTAATTACGCTGTGCCTCCGAATTTTCAGCATACTGCGAAAAGGTATCTTTCCGAAATGCTTTCGAAAGGAATTTTAATCAAACCCTCAAAAGCGCATTATAAACTAAATTCTGCTTATAATCATTCACCTACAAAAGTAAGCCCATTTCTTTATATAGAGAACAACTCCTAAAACTGATGTTTTAATCAAATTTTATTTTAAAAAATAAATTATAGGTAAATTTCGATAGCCTATTCAAACCTTTAAACGTCAAAATTTTACAAAGTCCGAATAATAGTGGTCAATCCCCTCGAAAGAGTATGAATAAATTAAATGATCCTACGTTGTTATTATCTCATAGCTTAAATTGTCAGATAAATCAAGAATCTTTTCAACAATCCATAGGTTTGGACTGTCAATTAGATAAAGTATTATCTCAACAATCCATAAATTTTATCGGACAAGCAAATCAATTAGCATTCCATCAAAAAAATTTGATCGAGCAAACAAATCAAGTAATGCCACAATCAACTCAATCATCGATTCAGCAATCTAAAAGTCCTTTACAACATGTAAATCGTACGTTATCTAATTTACCCGACCACGTTTCGTCACATTCACCGTCCGGATCTCAGAAGTCAACCTTGATATCAATAGACAATCAAATTAAGGATGTGAATATGATTAATAACGATCAGTCAAATCAAAAACCCGCAAGATCTTTGGTATCTGTAGCTTCTCTTATGAATAATGATCAAACACGTACAGGATTACGAATTCCGCAATCTTATCAAATGGATCGTTATATTAAACAAAACAATATACAAGCACGTAGTGGTATTCGTCCTCCAAGTCAAATTCCTCTTGGATTAAAGAGAAATAATAATCAATCACGTCCTGACGTCTCAAGATCTCATTCTACAGTCATGAATCATATATCTATGGATAATAATGGAAAATCACCTAATGGAATTCCATCTTTAAGTTCTCTGACTTCTCATCCGCAGTTATCTACAACGGCGAATAATAATGATCAATCAAATATTGGCATTCCATCCGTGAATTCCTTCTCGTCTCAACAACAGCGATATGCGGCGGCAATGAATAACAATAGCCAATCACCTATTGCTGCAAGACCTTTACTTCCGATACCTACGAATCAATCATTTCCTACTGGCAATACCGAAATCGGGCCTCAATCAATGATTGTACCTCCGATGCAACCTATACAACCAAATCCACAGCAATCATGGCCTACTTCATTCAATTCATTTTATATGATTCCTAATTCTAATGAAAGTAATCAATATGGATTAATGCAAACCTATTCTTATAGTCCAAATCAAAATCAAATTAGTTATGATGGTCACAATGCAATGCATAACTCTTTGATGAATGAAAATAACGGCCAACCTAGAAATAGTCCTGTGACTCCTCACTTACAACCAATGGGACAGATTGGTCAAATGGGACAGTCTTTAAATCAAAGATAAATCATTTTTTATACATATTAAAGTGATAATTGGCTAAACTAGTTTAATGTACATTTGATGCATTATGTTCAAATAAAATTGCAATAATTTTTTTTTTTTTCAAAATGTGAATTTTGTTTTGGTTAAATAATAAATTTTTTTGGAATCGGATTATGTATTAATTTTTTTGTAAAAATAATCGCAAGACGCGTATATGAGAGTAAAAATTTTCATAAATTTATAAAGCTATACAATTATGAGATTCGCTTTTATATGGCTTAATAGAAGTATTTTCAATTAATCGAACTAAATTATAAGATTGGATGCGAGATTACGCATTTACGTAATAAATTAAAGCTTCTTGAACACATATTATTAGCTTTAAATTTTATTGCATATAAAGATGTTCTGAAAACTTTTCAGATAAACGCATAATATAATGTTTAATGGATATAGCCTCATCTCTTTTTAATACTTGCTTTAGCGCAAATATTATTTCATCAACAATTCTTGGACAGTAAAAAAGAAATTCTATGGTTTTACGCTGGTGTATTTGCGGTAATGATATAAATGGCCCATATAAAGGTTCTAAATTGAAAATAACCTTTAGTCTAAAAATCTTAAAACAAAATTCATCTTTGTAATACCTTTATTATTTGAATCCATGTAAAAAAATGGTACTAGTGACACTTGAAGTTGTTCCAAAATCTATTTTTATAGAATTTTCATAAATTAAAAAATATCTATAAGCTGTAAAATAATTTTTTTAAATTACCTCTTCCGCTAAAACACTTTTATTTCCACGTTTTGCAATATCACATAAGACATTCAAAATATCCTAAACATTTCACAATTATAGATCAAGAACATTACTACAGCAAAATCAAAAAATAATAATTATTTATATTACCTGACTAGTTTCAAAATTATTTGCTTTTAATTCACATAACAACTTTGGCAAAATCAATACCCAACTTTGAAGCGATTTGACTAAGAAAGATTCTTTCTGTATGCAAAAAGAATCTTTATAATTTGAAAAGCTTTGAAGCTTTTAAAAAAATATTATTAATTTAAAATGTATATAAATTGTAAATATTTATATATTAAAATTTATACCATTAATATTTTAGAAATAAATTTTATACAAATTTGTTTTGCTAATGACTGAGTATGACATCGTTTTGAATAATCTAATATTGCCTATAAATTACTTTTTTAAATAAATTAGATTCTTTATAAAAATAATTAAATAAATTAAAACAAACCTGAAAAATAGATTCTTGCAATTCTTTATCAGAATAATTTAATAATCCCCAAAATGTAGGTATTAAATTTTTCAAATTTTCTGATTTTAATCCAATTCTTGTCAATCTATTATCACCTTTAATTAACTTCTATAAACATTAAAAATTAATAATAATAAAAAAAATTCAATAATAAATCACAAATAAAAATGTATTACATCAGATTCCAAAATTTGTATAACATATTCAGAAATTTTTTCTATCCACAAAGAATGTAATTCATAAGTTTCTGGTTTAGAAATCTTTTTTTGTTTTTTAAAAAATGGTCCAGTCTCCATACTAATTTGTTTTTGAAAAGATAATCCAGTCTCTGTATTGATTGATATGCCTTTTTTATTCTTATCAGCTTTTATTAAATTTGAAGATGCTGCAGCCAAATATAATATCACCAATTCACAAAATATAATATTCATTTCTTGTATAATGTTCTCAACCTATAAATTTAACAATAATACTCTAAAATAAAAATCTTTGGTTGAAAATCTGTTAAAAAAATGTGACCTAACCAACCTTTACATCACACACATCAGAGGACTCTGCACCAAATGGAAAGTATATTATAAAGTGTTTAAGCAATGGTTTTAAGTTGTTTTCTATCCATTGTTTATCCAAAATATCCTGTTTGTCATTATATTAAAATATTTTAATAAATGAATAAATTCTCAACCATGCATTATTCTAAACAGTTTGTTAATAATAAATCCAAAAACCTGTTTCATGAATATGATGTGTAAAATTGTTCTCCATAATATAACTATTATTTTCATTACAAGATAAACTATTTGAAGTGCAGATGTTATACGAGTTAAAGATAAAATTGTCCCAAATACTGATGGTGCAGTGTCTAACCATAATGACAGGAGTATAGGATTTAAAGTATTTAATAGATCCTTGAATAAATTGAATATTTGACCATTGTATTAGAATTTGCAAATTAAAAGAAATATTAAAATGAATTAATATCACCTTTGTGTTAGCCACACGTTTCTGCGTTGTTGAATAATCATAATCACTCTTTTCTTTATTTATATCATGCTGTGATGCTTCTATGCTAATATTAATCCGATCTGTATCTTTTTCTGTCGTAGATACTGATGTAGTATAGTTGAAAATATTTAATTGTGTGGCATAAGTCATTGAAGATGAAAACAAAGAAGGCAAGATAGTTGAAGTCAATGGATGAAGAGGTGCAGCTTCAGCCTAAGCAAGCTTGTAGTTAATACATAATATTCAGTATATACAAACTCTAATAAGTCCTTTTAAACAAACCATTTCATGAGCTTGTGTTAAATCTACAAAAACATGTTGCTTGGAAAAATGTGCTGATTGCTTTGAATGTTCAGCAGACAAAAAGTTCAGGAAAATCAAATTCCTGTAATTTAATATTAAATAATTTCAAGAAACAGGTTATACCTTTATTTATTCAAATTAATTATTTGATTAGTAACTTACGTGTCTTCATTCCCTTCAAGGGTAAGTCCATGTTTTAAAATTTTATGAAAACTTGATAGTAATTCAATTTTTATCTGTGTAACATGATGACCGAATTATATATTCATAAACAAAAAAAGTACTTAATTTAAAAATCATAAAATAATTTTCTTACTTCCAGTGGCCAAAATTGGTTTGAATTCTTGATAATATTGGAAACTAATGCGCATTACATATAAATATCGAGTACATTAGTAAAAAAAGAACCAATAAGAGACGAAATTCACATAAATTTTTCACCTGAACTATTGACACTGATGCTGGTGTCCGTAGTTAATAATCTGATGTAATTTGGCACAATCTGATAATATAATATTATAAGCAATACATTACGATCTAATCTTCTAAATATGACGAAATTTACCCGCTGCCAAAACTCGTTCACCACAACATCCGGCGCAATCTCAAGCCATAATTCCATAAATTTAATAGAATCTGTCCGTATATCATCATATATATGTGTCATTGCCGAGCACGTATATATTATAAGAAGGGGAAGAAATGGTCGTAGCTCAAACTATAAAGAATATAATTCTTTATATTAATAGCGTATTCTATTTACTAAATAGGAGTACAACATTTAGATTCGTACCTTTTGCACCTTTAGGAAGAATTCCGTAAAGAACGCTAACAATGACCTCCGAACACCCCTGTCCTGTTGTATAGTCAACATTACAGGTAATAAGAATAAAACTGTAAGGGACAAAATATTAATTTAAATAAGCATGCCTTACATCATCAACAAGTAAGCGTGAAAGAGGATTCACAATTGTTGATAGGGATCGTGATAAAATGGAGGGATGTTTATGGAATAAATCTCTGAGACCTTGAATAGAATCTGGAAATTTTAAGATTCCATTAAGTGAAAATTGCATATTATGTTTATCGTACACTAGTTAAGGAAATATGCTTGCCTTTTCTTGTTACAGGACTGTAATGTTTTAATTGTGTTACAAGGTCGTTTAATGTTAAATTTCGAGTATTGGTTATTTCTTCTGATTTGTCTTTGGCAATACTCTGCTCAGGTAAAGAGATTGCTAGAGGTATTGTTAGTCAACTTTAGTACAATGTCAATAAATAACCATGAGCTAATGATAATTACCTTTAGATTTGAAGGATGTATCTGTGAAATTACTGGCTTGAGGTTTCTTCTTGCCAACTTTAAGTTTTGGTTTCTGCAATGTACAATTAATTAAAAAGTGCGTTCGCAGTTTATACATTAACCAAAAGTTCTTAATTTTACTTTAAAGTCCTCTTGCTGGGCTTTTTTCTTTCGATGACTTTTTTTGGGCATTGCTACAGGTTGTGAGAATTTTGATTATAAGATGTGAATTACTGCGCTATCTATAAAAATTTTTTGCTCCGTAATTTCCCATGATTACTAAGATCATGTGATGCAATGCAGTATTTGTTTATATTGCCAAAACAAAATCATATTAATTATAATTTTCAAAAAATATGGAAAATACAGAAACTTTAAAAAATCTTGACAGAAAGTTATTTGATTTGTTAAATAAAGCTCATATACTGGTAGGAACGTCAAACGAAGAAAACCGAGGTATCTATGTTAACAAAATTGGTTATTTTAATAAATCATTTAATTATACAAACGCATGTCTTTTATATTGTCTAAGCTGACTCAATAGAAGAAAAACTAAGTTCAAGATTAAAACAACTTGAAGAAAATGAATATGCACATGAAACTGATGGAACTAGTACAGCTATCTCCGAGTCAGTTATGCGAGAGAAACCCTTCAATACAACTGTAAGAGAAAAATTCGTAGAAAAATGTTTAGAGCTCTTAGGATCTTTAGAGACAACATTGATAAATATTATTGATATTAAAGGTATTATTATAATCATATTTATACTGCATGTTTATACTGAAATTATACAATAATTAATACCAAAATTCTATTTTTATTGATGAAGAAAATAAAAAAGCCGATGAGCCTGAATTATTGGGTATAAGAGATATGAGCCTTGTCCATACGATGCTCGAGATAGTGATAAGTTGGGGAATATGTCCTTGCCTTATTTCAGGCGTTGGTATTCCAATTTCACTAAGAACCCGTTCAAGACATTTTCAGCATGGTACGTTTTAAATTTCGTTAATTTTTATAGTTTACAACGCCTAACTAATGTAACTCATAATTGCAGAATTTTCAAATAATCCAACAAATGAAGAAGCTGAAAAGAGATTATCTCCTCAATCACGTCATACTTATTTATTTAAGTTAATGCAATCATTAATAAAAATTGCGTATTCATCATCGCTAGAACAGATGTTTACAACCGTATCTTCAACAATACGAGCAAGACATCTCACGGATATTTATTCTGCATTATTACAATTGGCTTACGGGCCATTACCAACAAGTGATAAATCAGGTGTGCATACTGAGAATAAATTAGTTTTAACTGACAAAAGTGCAGTTGAGGGACAGCATGGAGATCTCATATTGATGCGAAAAGAGTCTGTGAGTATGTTTAGAAGGCTATTTGAGAGGTAAGTTTTTCTTATCATTATTCCATTTTATTCAAACGTTGATTTTATATATCTTAAATTTTTTTTTACTAGAGAAGATTCATTCCGATCTTTAGAAGCCTTAACAATGCTTTTAGGATCACCTCTTCATCCAGCGCCTAAATGGCTTAAAAATGTTTGTGGCAGATTTTTGACTCAAATTTTGCTACGACCGAATGGAGTAAAAAGTGTTATGAGTTTTATGATTGGCGGGGGAAGTGAAGGTTTAATTTATATATTTTATTTATATTCATGCTGAAAAATACCTATAGAATGTTCTTTATACTGAATTATGTTATCAATTTTAGTTGGATTATCCCAATTTGAGACAATTTCGAAATTAATACTTTCTGTTCCTGCTAAGGCAAAATCTCCCGAGGTAAGTTCTTGTGAAGGGTAAACTTACCAATAATTGATTATAGCAAGATTAATGTTTCATTCTTAAAAAAGGATTATTTCACTATAATATGCCCACAATTGCTAAATATACTGCAATCAACCTCCACGTTGCCATCCTTACAAACACCTAACATCAATAATACAACTTTGCCTATTGTTAAAGTGGCTGCTTTCACAATCATTAGAATGGCTGACAAATTTCCAGTCATCACCAAAAAGTTCATAATTGCTAATATATTTGATATATTATGGAAATGGTGGGGACTAACTCCAGAAGATAATCAATCATTCCAACATTATGATCCTTCTACAGACCTTGATCCATTGATAATGGATGAGCAATCTCTGCAATTAACAATCGCAACGATACATCATATATTAGTTGGAAGTGAGCCTATACCTGGTCTACTGCAAATGTTTCTAGAAGATTCAATGGTTCCTTTATATTATTTGTATTCTTTCACATGTTCTTCTAAATCTTTTCTGAAGAATATTGTGTCAGATATTTTACTGGCTTATTTTGGAATCTTAAACATTAACGAGGGTGTTGAAGGTTTGAAAGAAATTTTACTCCGGAAGACTAAAAGACGGATAGCTCCTAACACTGGGGATGTTGGAGAAATTTACTTTGCTCCTGGAACAGCTGGAGGTGTGGTCATGAGGTTAAGAATGTGCGTTAACGGTTTTTCAATTTTCGAGCTTAAGCCGCTTATGTGAAAATAAATTTTACTTCATTTTATATTAGGGTAGCACTTAATTTTTCGAACATTGAAACTTCGGTAGACGTTAATATATTTGTTGATTTCTTGAAACGCATATCAAACAATGAATTAGCAGGAGATTTCTTCATGTATATCCTCAATGAATATACATCATTACAATCTCTTCAGATGCATGAACAAAATTCAAGATAGTAAGATCTTGCATTTTATAATATTAACAAATTGCTTGCTTTACCTGAACACTAAGCAAAAAATATTTTCTAGTTTTTTGACATTGCTTCAGCTTATTTTATCAATGATTGAAAACCTTGGATCTGTTATTCTACAAAAACCTGGTCAAATTATTGCATTTGTTAATAATGTATTGGAGCGTTATCATCAGAAAAGTAGTCGTGTGAAACGAGATACAAGCGGAAATAAAAGTATATATGGTGAGCTGGGTAACATTATAAAGGACATGAGTGAAGGTGAATTAATGGAGGATGAGAATGAGGATGATGAAATTCTATCTCTAACCTTAACTCTCATGACATCATTATTGGCTGGTATTTAAAGTTTTTTCTTTGTATTTAATTCAAGTCGGAACCAGTGAAAAATAACATAGTAAACTGTGGGGATGTATTTTCTGCCTTTTTTGGAGTCTGGTTGCCCTAGGACATATTTTATACTTTTCTTTACTTCTAAAAAAGTTGTAGAGAAGGAATTCCAGTCATGCGGCGGTTAAAACCGTTAAATCGGCTCAATTGATTGCAAAGTATGAGCATTTTTGTCTTCGCGACTATATGTTTATTTCATTGTTTACTACATAGTCTCCAAGACAAAAATGCTCATGTCTCACGGTCCACTGGGCCGATTTTAATATTTTAACCGCCATTATGATCGTAATTCTCTCTTCTACAACTTTTACTAGAAGTAGAAGAGAGGTTTACTTAGTATAAAATCGATTTATCCGTTGGGAAACGCGAGATTCCATAAAAAGGCAAAAAATAACAGTAAATTTCTATGTTTTTTAACTGGTTCCTAGGCGGATCACGAATTAGTTTATAACATATAGCAATCATTTAATAACTAAATTTACTTCTAATCAAAAAAAAAAAAAGAACATAAAGTTCTTTCAGCTCAAGATTTCAGCCTATTAGCTTTAATAAAAAATAACCTTTCACTACAAAACCATCATTCACCTTCAATTCGCTCACTTTCACGAAATCTACAGTTAACTATTTCAGCACGTGAAGCGTCATCACAAGCTTCAAATGTAGATAATAGTAACGAACAAATTCGCCGGCAAGAAGGTTACAAAAAACTTCAAGAGGCCATGGAGGCGTTACAAGATGATATATTACCAATTAAGGCACGTGGTCTTGTGATACTTAAAGAAATGGTTCTTGAAAAAAATATAATTATGGAAGGAGAAAATTTGAATAAAGTTTTGGACATTTTTGTGAATATGGTTCAAGATGAAGAGAGGTGAGTTGTCTTAATAAATATTTATATCACAATTGTTACATAAAGTCAACTAATATAATATTCATTCATATATAGTTTTATATATTTTAATGCTGTTAAAGGGTTATCTGCATTAACTGATATTCATGGAGAAAAAATTATGAAAAAGCTGACAGCAATTTATGTCGATGGTTCGCAAAATTTTGATAACCGATTACGTATTGGGGAGGCTATTTTGCAAACTATTCAGCGATGTGGAGATGTACTTGGAAAATATGGTAAATATTTCTATTCTTGTTAGCTTTGTATTTTCAACCCTCCATAAACAGAGGCATCTTAGTAAGAGTTCTATAAGCCTGGGATTGTTCATAGTTTGTTTAAAATGGGCAAACATAGCGCATATACTTATGGAGGGCGTACTTAAGATGATGGGCTGATTAACTAAACTCTATTGCCTAATTCTTTATAGTAACGGCACTCTTGCCACCATTGCTATTTGTTCTAAACAAAGATCAAAATCAGACATTAAAGGTATCTGCATTAAGTATCATCGGATGTGCGTGCGAAACATCTCCTTTGGCATTATCAATTTGGTTTAGAGATATCATTGATTGGGTTTTGAATATTTTGGATATTCAAAAAGAAGTTGAAATTCGAAGAGGTATTTTTTTATAATGGTTTTAACTTTTTTATATTGACCCTATATATTAATAAATTGTCGATTCTTTAACGCATACTAACTTATCCATCATTACTCAAAAAAAAAAAAAAGCATCAATAGTTCTATTGTTATCTCTTTTTCGTGGTTTATTCTCACATTCACAGACAATATTTATAATTCCAAAAGATTTACTTGAAAGGATTTGGAGAACTCTAAAGTACATTGAAGAAACTGATAAAGATGAATTGACTAAATATCATGCTAGAATTGGGATTAATGACCTGGATACAATTTTTCATGAAAAATTATTTGGTAGTGTTTTACCTAATGTGTAGGTTTTTGTAAGAAAGCTATTTCTATTAGTGAAATTGTTAAAGGTAGAGGATGCACAGATCAATTTTCATATGATAATGATGTCAAATTTTTTTTTTTTTTATAATAAAAAAAAATTTTATTAAGTAACTTATTTTTAAATTTATAATAAAATTTATAGAATAGATTTTTCTGATTCTAAGAGTAGTAAAATTGTTAAAATTAATTAGATATTTGCCAAGAAATATGTATTTAAAGATTGAGTATTGATTTTTTGTTTACAAAAATCATATGATCATATGATTTAACCTATCAAAACTAAGGATTTTGTGTAATACAGCAAATTTGAGGTTACTGCAACAAATTTATGATATATACATGTTTTTATTAAAATTAAATTTTATATCATTAGAAAAAGCATATTTTAATTTACAAATTTATAAAATTTTAACTAAAATTAATTTTTTTTTTTTTAAGGTCATGCCTTTATAACTTTATTATAATTATATATATGTATATATTATGTGATACATACATATTAATTCTTACAAGTATATAGAGGGGAGTCAATAGAAAAGTAACAAATTTTTTCTAAGTAAAAGTTTTCTTGACTTTGAGCTTAAATATCTTGGCAATAATCTTATCAAATTCAATAAAATTTTTTTATTTTAATTCTATATAATTTCAAGATTAAAATAAAAAAATTTTTAGCAAATTTGATTAAATAGTTGTTGAGATATTTTAATTTAAAAATTAAAAAAAATTTACTAAAAATGATTTGTCCTTTTTTTATTAACTTACCCTCATATATAGCTCAGACAGGTCTTGACTACTATCTGTAACCTAAACCTACCAGAGTATTCTATATCTCACTTATGTACTACCTGGATTTGACTACTATATCCTAATTTGTACACATTACTTTCTTCTATATTCCCTGTATCTCTCATATTTACCACATACAACTCTCTTTTTTGGTATTCTATAGAAGGCCTCATAACTATTAAAGTTACTCCCAAATTGGTTAGACCATTCAGCCTTTCTATTTCAAGCATTTTTTCTTGCTACTATAGATTTCACATTATGTATTAATACAATGTGGGGCTTTTATACTCAACAAAGTATCATTTTGCAGATGAGGTGGCACTATGGCTATCTAACTAGAGTTATGGTCTAATTAATGTTATATATGTATCATATGCATTGCCAATTCTTGATAACAGGTACTTCTGTGTATTGGTATTATGTGAGAGTATAGGAATGATTGTAACAAAGTTACTTTCAATAGTGTTTTTGTGAAACAAATCTTTCAAATTATTTGAAGCTAACTCCAAATAGACTTGGTGTTTTCACTACTTCAATATTTTAGATTATGAGGCTTAGAAGTATAGACCTAATTAGAACTTGCATTTTGTACCACTTTCAAATTAGTTGCTTGGTATTTTGGTATTAGTGTTCTTCATCTCTTTCATGTATTGCTACACTACCAGCCTGGTGCTTCTAGCTATTTTAAGTTATTACACATACCTCAAGTCTCAGCCAACTCTTTATAGAAGTTTGTTCTTTTTTAAATCAAGTAAATAGTATATGCCAGAGGTGTTTCAAATCTAGTAAGGCCAATTCTTTACTACAGGTCTCTTTGTGTTTACTATATTTCTTACTACTTTCTAATTCTGGTTATCACTTGGTCATTCTCCCAAACAAGATCTCCAATGCCACCTTAGGAGTTGTTAGTACTACCTTGCCAATTACAGATTTATACGCACAACCTTTGTATAATAGAACCTTTTGTAATGATCATCATTACATGTAGTATCAACTACTCTACAATAGACCTCCTTTTAGAAATTTCTAATCTAGACCTGTATTCACTTGAACTTTTTACAGCAGATACTTCCAAATATTCGTAGATCATATCTACTAGGACTTGAACCTAAAACCTGCTTATAGGAGGTTGGATGTCTAAACCACTAAACCATAGGATTTCAACCCTGAACAAAAATTAATTGAGTTTTAAAAATTTTTATTAGTAATATACAGTATTTTTATTATCTATTTAAGGTCTTGATTTGCTATACAGTGTATATTATATAAAAAATGATTTATGATATCTTCTACTTTTAAATTAATAATAAAATTGGAAAAATTGGTTTTATTAATATATTTGGTTATTTTAGTTTATTTGCTTGCTATTAGATTTTAAAAGTATTTATTATTAATGTTTGCAAAATATATTTTGACAAAGATTAAATTTAAAAAATAGCAAAAATTAGCAAATTTATATATATATATATTTTTTAATATTAAGAGGTGGGCGACTTAGTGTAGTGGTCTAATCATCACTCTCTTCAAGTAGCAGGTCTAGAGTTCAAATCTCACGGACGACGAATTTTGAAAAAATAGGCTTGTGTTACGGTTGACGGTTATGATTATCAGTTAGATTTTAGATAAATCTGTAACTTCGGTCATACCATCTAGTAATGGGAGCAATGGCGCAATAAAGCCGAGGAACTGGCATAACCGAAAACCCATTTGGGAAGTCCCGAGTTAGAAAGTAGCAGTAATCTTCGATGGTATCACAAGAAGGCTAAATTCGAACTGGGGCCCGAAATCGGAGAACCGAATGACCAGGTCCTAATGGCGGAGGATATACCAGCCAAATTGGCAGTTTGGTTAGTAGATTCTCTACTTAAAGATCTTGTATCACTCAGTTTTTCAGTCTCGGTTCTAACTTCCAAATTTGGTTTTTCCTGAAGCACCGTAAAGGTTTTGGCTACCTCTTTACTTGAGGCTTTCCAAATGGGTTTTTGGTTATGCTAGTTTCTTAGATTTATTGTGCTAAAGCTCCCATTTCTAGATGGTGTAACCAAAATTACAGATTTTAGATTTAATCAATAAGCATAGCTATCAACCGTAATGCAGATCTATTTTTCAATATCATCATCCCTGGAATTTGAACTCTAGACCTGCCACTTGGAGAAGGTGATGACTAGACCACTACACTAAATCGCCACATCTCTATTAAAAAATATATATATATATTTTTTTGGTAATACGTACTGAAGATGAGCCAGGCTTGTCAAGACCCAACATTGAGCCACCTGACACCTTTTAATTAGACAATAGGCCGGCTTTCCTAGCAGGACGCCCAACCCAGTTACCTCACTAATGTTGGCCACAATATCATCATATGTTGAGGCGCAATGTAGATATCGTATAACCCAGGCCTTAGCTGCCGCTTTTGCTAGGGTACATGTCTCACTCATGTATTCACCCAGACTTTAGTAACTTTACACCATAGCTTGACCCATGCACTTGGGGTCAGGGCTAACCATTGAACCCCTGCAACTAACTAGTACCAGTACTAATCTAGTATATATATTGC